AGGCCTTTCAGGGCGGGAGGGGCGGGGCGCGGCCGCACCAGGTCGACGGCCAAGACGACCAAAGCAACGACGAGCTGCCAAGTAAGAGAGACACCCATTCATGTGCACATGCAGGGACATGCAGAATAGAGGGAGATATATATGTGTGTGTGTTTCCTTGTGTGTGTGTCTGTCTGTCTGTCTGTCTGTATGTGTGTTCAGGCGCCGCACCACCCGCACCCCGTGCTCGTGCTGCTGCTAGCGCCCGCCAGCCTCTCAACCGATCGTAGCCATACAGAGCCACACCCGCACCCACCCCACCCCACGCACACACAGACAGAGGACAAGACAGGACAGGACCAACACACGTAGAGGGAGATTTCTGGGAGGGGTAGCTGTGCCATGCATGTGCTATTGCGCGTTCTCTAAATGAGCAGCGGTGGGAGAGTGAGAGATGTACAGAGAGGCCGACCGAGAGCAGGAGCGTCAGGTGAGCAGGCCTTCACGACGAGCAGCAATGCGAGACATACAACGCTTCGGTTGGGTTCAGGCATCGCTGTCTGCATTTTATATTTGACGGATGCTTGCTCGTCGACCCACTGTGCCAGTGAGTGCGGCACCCAAGTATAACTGCCGAATGCCTTACGGTCCCCTTGTATGTCATGTCTCTCCTGCTTCGTGCAGATCGCTGCCTACGCTCTACACCTGTGGGCCCCATTGAGGGCGTTGGGCAGATGCGGATATGCACGGCGACTCGAAGTACACAAACAGCAAGCGAAGCCGACTCACAACTTGGCTGAGACTCGCATATGCCATTTTTCTTCTGTCTGTCTGTCTGTCTGTCTGTGTTGGTTTAGTCAGGCCACAGAGCGAGTGAAAGAAAGCCCTCGTTGCCCTGACCACAACCATCGACGCCACAATGGCACGCAAGCGGCACCCCCACGAGGAGCTGTGGATGGAAGTAGCCATCCGCCGCCTCAAGAGATGCCGACGTCCACCGCATCGAGTTCGAGGGCTTCGACAGCTAGCTGCATGGAGCTGTTCGGCTACCTCCTCCACTTCAGCACCCCGCATCGAGACGAACCAACACGTAAGGCATGCGTCCGTGGCAGGACAGAGAGGCAGTGATTGAATGCGAGTGCGATGTATGCATCTCTTCGTTTCACTGTGGTGTGTCAGCACAGCGAAATCCGGCGCGTGCTCCGCTACCTGGACCTCACCAATGGGCAGTGCCGCATCAACAAGCACTGGAACATGCCGTGGGTAATCACCGACATAATCTTCATCATATGCAAGCTCTGCCCAATGGGTGGGCGTATCCTAGCCATGGTGGCATACATTTGTGTCGTATTGCTTGGCGTCTTCGCTACCTGTGCTTCTCAGGTTCAAGTGGTGCACAATCATTTGGTGCAATGTCGTCGTGGTGCCCATCTGCCAGCTCATCAGGGCGACCGACCGTCAGCCTCGTATCGTTGACGGTCGGGTCAACCTTTATCAGCAGGACGGCAGATGGCACATCGAGATGGAGAGCGGCGCGCCCCTTCTCATCCCTGAGCGCTTCGGCACTGCGGCCGAGATCCACGAGCTGGATCAGGATGGGGAGGAGGCGCTGCGGGGCTCTGATCGAGGTGACCGCGACGACACGGACGCTGCTGCTGCCGAGGAGGACGATAGGGAGGAATGGTTGGAGAGGGCAAGGGCGACGGTCGAGCGGAGCGAGGTCAACAAGGCCACCTACCTCGATGAAGTGGATGAGCGCCACCCGTAACCCTTGAGGTCACACACATACATCCTGCCCTCTCTTTGCATATATGCGTTGCGATGTCGTGTGGTGTTATTTCAGGTTCCCTTCCCCCGCACGCCTCCGCACCCGCAAACTCCCGCGCGCGCTACCCGCACACTCTCGACCCCTCGCGAGCAAGGATGCCTTGCCGCTCTCTCACGGTCGTGGTGGCCCTCCTCTCTCTCTCCCTGGCCTTCCAGCCCCTCCTCGTGCGGAGGAGGTCCAGGCCGAGTCCTACCTCATCACCGACCCTGAGGAGTGTCTGGGCTTGCTGCCCGCACTCTTCGGTGTCAGTGATGACAGCGGCCACGTCCCGCCCGGGTGGGACCTCTCGGCTGACGACCTGCAGGCCATCATGGGCAAGTGAGAGCAGAAGAACCCGCTGCCCGATGACGACGAGGCCGACGAGGGTGGGGATGACGGCGAGTGGTACTACAATGACGACGAGGACGCCAGGGCGGGAGGGGCGGGGCGCGGCCGCACCAGGTCGACGGCCAACATGACGAAAACAACGACGAGCTGCCAAGTAAGAGAGACACCCATTCATGTGTGTGTGTTACCTT